ACTGGTTTGTGCTATACGGAACTGATACATCATCTAAACACACGCTGAAAACAATTGTTGTCTGAAGGGCCCTAATATTGATTTCTTGCCAAAATGGATTCTGTAAGCACTTACCCATGTCTGTCCTTTATTCTGGTATAAATATCCTTCTTTCTATCTACACTGACCTCCTCTACCATGTTGTATAGGACTGTTACTCCTCAGCACAATATTTGTACCAGCTACACCATGAGTTACAGTGTGTAACAGGCATAAGGGACAGTGTGAGACAAAAAGCGCTAGTTCACCAAAAATGGTGAGGCACTGTGTGTGTGAGAAAGAGAGATGACAACTACAAGTAGGCAATGGGTCCTCTGTGTGACACAGAAGGGTGAGATGCTGCATGTAGCAGAGACATATGAGGCTCTGCTGTGTTACAGAGAGGCATGAGGCACCACCTGTAACTGAAAGAGGTAAAGCACTGCATGTAACAGAGAGCTAAAAGCGGCTGTGCGTGATAGAAAGGTATGAGGCACTGTGTATAAGAGACCACTAAGATACTGCTTATAATACAAAGGTACTGTGTGTAATATGCCATATATGCCATGCCATGTCTATGTAGTGTCGCAGATTGCAGGGAGTGAGCTGTATGTACAGATGACAGATCTTACTGGTGCTGTGGATGAGGTATGAGCTATCTATGCTGGAGAAGATATCTTTGGTGCAGGAGATAGAGGAAAAGGAGCTATGTGTTCTGGGACAGATATTACTGGTGCAATGGATAGCGAGGAGTGAGCTGTGTGTGCTGGGAAAGATGTCACTGGTGCAATGCAAAGTGGGGAATGAGCTGTGTGTGCTATGGACAGATATTACTGGTACCAAGGATAGCGGGGAGTGAGCTATGTGTGCTGGGAAAGATGTCACTGGTGCAATGCAAAGTGGGGAATGAGCTGTGTGTGCTATGGACAGATATTACTGGTACCAAGGATAGCGGGGAGTGAGCTGTGTGTGCTGGGAAAGATGTCACTGGCGCAATGCAAAGTGGGGAATGAGCTGTGTGTGCTATGGACAGATATTACTGGTACCAAGGATAGCGGGGAGTGAGCTGTGTGTGCTGGGAAAGATGTCACTGGTGCTATGCATAGCGGGGAAGGAGCTGTAAGTGCTGTGGACAGATATAACTGGTACCATGGATAGCGGGGAGTGAGCTGTAAGTGCTGTGGACAGATATTACTGGTACCATGGATAGCGAGGAGTGAGCTGTGAGTGCTGTGGACAGATATTACTGGTACCATGGATAGTGGGGAGTGAGCTATGTGTACTGCGGACAGAAAAAACTGGTACCATGGATAGCGGGGAGTGAGCTGTGTGTTCTGGGGGCAGATATTTCTGGTACCATTGATAGCAGGGAATGAACTGTGTGTGCTGCAAACAGATATCACTGGTGCCATGGATAATGAGTGTATTGTGGGGGCAGATATTACTGGTATCATGCATACCGGGGGAGTGTGCTATGTGTTTTGGGGGCAGATATGAGTGATGGCATGGATAGTGGGAATGAGCTGTGCATGCAGTGGGCAGATATTACTGGTACCATGGATAGTGGGAAGTGAACTGTGTATTCTGGGGTCAGATTTTACTGGGACGAGATGTGTGTGCTGTGGACAGATATTACTAGTACCATATGTAGTGGGGAGTGAGCTGTGCATGCAGTGGACAGATATTACTGGTACCATGGATAGTGAAGAGTAAGCTGTGTGTGCTGTGGACAGATATTACTGGTACCATGGATAGTGGGGAGTGAGCTGTGTGTACTGTGGACAGATATTACTGGTACCATGGATAGTGGGGATCATCTGTGTGTACTGTGGACAGATATCACTGGTACCATGTACACTGAGTGGCCAGATTATTATGACCACCCCATCAGTACTTCGTTGGGCCACGAGATGACGCCACGAGATGACTTTGTTGGGCCGCCTCGTGACTCCACGAGATGTTGAAAGGTGGTCCGAGGAATCTGACACTGCACTGTTGCCCTTCTGTTGTCTTGTACCAGTCTGGCCACTCTCCGTTCTGCCCTAACATTGACTAGTCGCTGACGGCCACAATTCGCACGTTCAGACCCAGATGTTCGGCTGACAGTCCAGTCTTTAAACACTTTAACAACAGCTGCTCTTGAACATTTAACGAATTCTGCTGTTTTGCTGATACTCGCTCCATGGCTCCTAGCGCCAACAATCATCCCACGTTCAAAGGCTGTTACATCGCGTTGTTTACCCATATCTTCAGAAAAAATCACTTCTACTGTCGTGGTAAACGACCTGCTTCCCTATGTATAATGGTCTGGCCCTCTAGAAACTTCAGCACGAAATTATAGCTAATTTGCCTACAAACGTCAGGTGGTCATAATAATCTGGCCACTCAGTATATAGCGGGGATGAGCTGTGTGTGTCACAGTGTCAAGGGACATACCATCGTTGCAGAGGAGGAGAGAGGCTGGAGAGAGCGATGTGACAGCCAGCAAGATCCAAGGTTCGGGTTAGAATAACTTTGCTATTTTTGACCCTAGGCAAAAATGAGCACTTAACCCTTGCAGTGCGGTGGTGGCCCCACCGCAAGGGTTAATACATTTTTTGCCTTCTTTAAGACAATTTTTGATTTTCAGATAGATTGAAGTTGTTCTGTTAGACTAAAAAGTAAACTGGAACAATCACATTTTAGAGACATAGTATATTTATTTTTCCTCAAAATGTTTCATTTCAAAGTTTACTAAACTCCTTTACATTTACGATACTACCGTTTCAATCCACTGCTCAGAATCAAAGCTGTTAGTTATTATTAATTGTACTCTGCTATTACACAAGAACAATCTCTATGTAAACCTGGATTCACAATGACACTGGAGATTGGATTTAACATTGTAATGCAAAAAGTCACGATATGCAGCAACCAGTCACAAATCAGCTTTGGGACAACTGGTTTAATCAGACATGTGAAAGGTTATGTCTAGTTTCTTGCTATGGTTTACTACGCTTTGCACATTAAAACTAATCTGCAATCTTCAGTTTTATTAAAGGATAAATATGCTTAAAGTCCCTTTGAACTTTCCATTTAAATCAGTTAAACAAGAACACCGGGCATAGCTCTTCTCAACCCTTGCAGTGGGGCTACCCCTGCACTGCAAGGGTTAAGTACTCATTTTTGTCTAGGGGTGAAAATAAAAAAGTTTACTCACATGAACCTCGCAGCCAGCTGGCTGTTAGCTCAGTCCCTGCCACCTTGCTTCCCCTCCGCTCCTGCGGTCTAAGGTCCTGTGAGTCATCGCGTCCTATACACGGTATGGAACGTGAGGACGCCGAAGGACATTCCATTGCAGAGGGAAATGAGGCTGAAAGGAGGGGTTCTAACCACCAGCTGGCTACAAGGTTCAGGGTCAGCTCTAGACGAAAGCAAGCCCTGCTGCAAGAGTTAAAAATAGTTATGCCCCGAGTTCTTTTTTAAACACATTCCTGGTCCCTTAAAACAAAAAATAGCTAATTCATAACTACTGCCAATAGATGGCGCTGAAGAGCAAATTAATTCCTACGCTCCTCATCGCCATCTAGTGGTGGTAGCGCAGGGATGGACAAATTAGTATAGAATACAGGAGCCAGGTTGTCCAATATGGGAGGCGGCTCCACTAATAACAACTACAGGAAACCTCAAAAGTTTGGAGCCAGCTATCATTTTTAAAGACCATTGGCTCCTGGGATCTGTCAAGCCCTGCAGTGGTGTCATGAGAATGGCAGCCCAGCTACAGTATATGCAGTGCTGAAGAGTTATAAATCAGCCTCAATTTATTCTTACAGTTTGTTTCCTTTAGAGAGAAGCCACAGCCTGAGTAGAAGGGCCTGTCAATGCCAGCATGCTGTAGAGGAACCCTTGCTCTCTGTGTGAAAGCAGTGGTCTCTTTGCAGAAGTCTGATTCAGCAGGGGTCGTGTCGAACATCTGCAGAGAGACCACTGCTTTCAAACAAAGAACAACAGTCCTTCTCTACAGTATTCTGGCAGGGGACAGGCTTTTACACACAGGCTGTGGCTGCTTTCCATATAAAATAGACTGTAAGACTTTGAACGCGTTTTGATTCAATGCAACAGGAATGTATTGAGCTGATTCAAATAGTTCACTTGGGCTTTAATGAACAGAGTTTTCCTCTTACCATTATGTAGAAATAAAATGTGTGTCATTTATAACTTTTTCTATTGAATATCAGCACATGAGAACTTACTTTCCTTTCCTTTTATATGGCTTGTGCGTCTGCTACAGTCAGTTTTTATGATTAATGCATCTCCCAATATAGTGGAGCTTATTTATTACAAAAACTGTAGCAAAGGAAAATGCTTTCATTTATTGTTACAGCCGGGATGTGATTGGTTGCTGCATCTCTGTTCATAGAAATGCCACAGTGTAGGTCACAAAGAGCACTGATTTACTATTGGATTTTACGCATTATATCCCACCCACAAAACAATGCTTGCTGTCCAGATTCACATGAAATAACCTAATATTACTACGGGATGGATATATGGAAAAGGTTCAACCTTCACACGTCTTGTTCGATCAGGTTGATTTAACTTGAGGTGACATGTATGATGAAACCTTATTACCCTTTGGTTATGAATGGCCTGTGCCAGGGTATGAGATGGGTTAATATAATTGAGGAGCTTAGGCAATAAAACCCTCTGGTGTTTCGGGGGCCCTGCTCTCCTCTGCTTGATCCATCTAAACAGAACATATTCTTCCTTGGCAGGTCCAACAAAGAGTAAAATGGGGAGGCACTTTCTATGGAAGCTTATGTGAATATACCCATTTTCCATTGTTGATGGTACAGGTGAAGTTACAAGCTACCATTTTATTCAGGCCATCTTTAGACCCACTGGTGCTTCAGCAGATCATGATCTAAGAATTTTCATTCTCATATATTTTGGTAAATTCTTTAGTGATCATTGGGTCAGATAGTGCTTGATAGATGTAAAATATAAGCCTAAAATGGGTCTGACAAAGAGGTTTGGTAATACGATGAACTAACCAGATCACATTGTGCCCCGTCATAGACACACTCTTGTAGAAAACATTAGTCCTTTATTGGAGGGGATATGACCAATTGCCACAGAGATGCTCTAAATTCACACACTGGGCTATTTTTGAAGAGGCACGTGAGTGGAGGAGCCAAGACCAGTCCAGCCTCCCATTAAGATGTACCTCCCCCTGTGGTGCTGAGATTAACTTGTCTGCAGTTAATCTTTTGCATATTAGCTGCCATCAGCCAACTGGAGGCTACCTTATGGCGAGGTGCTGATGACATCACAGTGAGATCCGGAAGAATTATGGGAGGACGGTTTAAAGAGTAAGGGGAGGTTACTGAGGCTTACCGCTACGTCTAGCTACACTGCACAGAGCTGTCTGGTACAGTATAGTATAAAGAGCTTTCTCTTGCTCTGAGACGAATATCACTCACAGTCTATACAGACAACCATTGCTCTAGTAGGCAGGAGCTGGGGAACGCAGGTACAAAAGCACAAGAATGATAGTGAGAGTTGCAAGTGCTGAGCTGGTTATATTAAAGAGTCGCGCCGTCTTAGCATCTTCTACAGCTCCACTGAGGTCGTTCAACAGTTTCTTGTCCCTGACCTGCAGAATGCAAGAATACAATTGGTTAGCAACATATCATGTGACAATGGCCTATAATACCTTTAACTGCCATACTTTACTATATTGTGTATAATGGATGATATGGTTATTGAGAAGTGCAGTTATCACCTGATGAACAGCAATGAAGATCACCAGCACTCATGGGATGCAATAAATCCAAATTTTCTTTTTATTGCAACAACATGTCACTTGTATCAAGTAGCCAACGTTTCGGAACCGCGCAGGGTTCCTGCTTCAGGGCAGACATAGTGACAACCAGTTATCACCTGACTTCTCATACTTAGGGATGTATGTATGTATGTTAAATCTTATGCTTAGGGTGTCTATATAGACAATCTGCAATACCATTCTTCCTGCGTAACTCCACGAACATTAATTCTGTGCAAACCGAGGCACAAATGAGCATTCTAAGTTTATTTTCTTTCCAAGACGAATGTATAATGAAAATACCACATTATGGCCACTAGATGGAGCTAAGGCGTATAGCAGATGTATACTTCTTCCCTATGCTCTTCAGCAACATCTAGTGGCCATAATGTGGTATTTTCGAGCTATTACGTTCAACTTGAAAAGAAAATATACTAAGAATGTTCCTTTTTGCCTCCATTTGCAATGAACAAATGAACGAATGTTCACGGAGTTTCAGAGCATTTTGAAAATTGTTTATAAATACGCTCCCCTTACGGTTTGAACAGCCTACTGCCTCAAATATGTTTATCTGTTGGTTAACTCATTAAATCGTGATAAGGTTCAATGTAAACTTGATAAAGCAGCCAAATAAATAACTGAATACATATATGGGACCTCCTCTGCAGCCACCACTACTACAGCCAGATTATTAACCATTACTCCAGCAGTAGCCCAACTTGGTCAGGAACAATGTGTTAAAAGACACCTCAACTTTGTAAATGGACAGCAAAGCAGCAGTAGCACAAAACTAATTAGGTCATCCCTCGGCTCACTGTTCTCTATTCTCCTATCAGTATGTTCACTGCCAGCACATGTGCATTGCTGGAGAGATGGATTGGCTGCTAGTGCTGCCCCTTCCTCTCCCAGTCTGCAACTGCAGGAGGATTACAGAAGTCTAATATCAAGACAAACTCACATTCCATCACTAGCTTCATATTTATAATACATGAAGTGATTTTTATACTCGATCCTGCAACAGTGACTGTTCACCTCTCTCCCCTCCACTCTGGCTGTGGACCGTCTCTCAGCATCCACACGTCCATTGCAAGTCAGGGGGTAACTCCAGCCCTCCAGAGCTCTGGTGAAACTACAAATTCCACCATGCATCTGTCTATGGGAGAATCTTGCAAAGATTTGTAGCTCCACCACAGCTGGAGGGACGGAGTTTGCCCTCCCCTGGTCTTAGAGGACACATTTAACAATTCTAACTGATGTGATATAAAATACAAAATAAGCATGTGCAACGCTGTAAATCTTTTTCTATCCCGTGTGATATCATTGTAATAGTACACTTATATTTCTAGACAAACAAAATAAAAAACAGGCAATATATTGCACAAAACAATAAAAAGTCCATATTCTTCAACTGTGAGGCCCCATTCACACTGAGCGACATGAAAATCGCGCGATAAATCACTCAGTGTGAACGGGGCCTTAAACTCAAAATAACACATGTCCGCAGGGCCATCATTACACTAAGGCCCCATTCACACTTGGCGATTCGCAAATCGCGCGTTTGTCGCACGATTTGCATTTTGCGCGATTTGTCACGCGATATCGCGCAAATGCTTGCATTGAAAAGCATTGAATCCCGGCAAAATCCGCTCCAAAAAGGGTCCTGCTGTAGCGACACACGACCCGCGACAGCAGGACCCTTTGCCCCATTGCCAAGCATTGGAGAGCGATATTGCGCGGTAAATAGCCACGATATCGCGGGAATTACCGCGCGATAAATCGCTCAGTGTGAACGGGGCCTTAGCGTCTGATTTCTAATTGTTCCGACTATGATTGATGCTACCCTCTGCCAACTGTGTCTATTGTGCTAGATAAGGTAATCGTGGCTACATGACGGCTACTTTGCTGAGCCAAGCAGCCCTCTCATGTTCATATTACCTGCAATGTGACCAATGTATACTCTCTACTCCAGACATGTACTCGGGACATTGTTAAGCTTTTGAGGCGCTGCCTCCTTGTACCATTGTACCATGCATATGTACAATAAAGTTGATTTCTGGTTTTAAAAAAAAAAATAAACACATGTCGTGGCACCCGCTAATGATTCACTATACAAAAATTAAATCTTTATTTATTTTTTTGTTCTTTCATATATAATGGTGTTGTGCTTCCCAATCTACTTCCACACCACTGTGATCCCCAAATCAGAAGGGCACTTACCCTGTGAATGATCGCTTTATTATAGAAAGGTATACTAGGGCAATGGTGACTCTATGATGGCAATCTTCACTGTTCAGTCTGGATTGGATAAAATTTTCAGCGCACTCAGATCATGTAAAATAAAATCCAGGAGAATTTATACTGCAATATAGTTTATCAAAAGCCAGAAGTAGAGCGTGTGTGTAACTCGACACCATGGCTTTCATCATGTGAGACTGTTTCCCTTAAGAAGTCTTGGATGACGAAACATGTAGGCCGAGTTGGTTACGTGTTCCTGTTTCAGAAGCGTAACCAAGGTCACAGTGTGTCAAGGAGAAACAGGCACTGAGATTAGAGCTGAGTGCAATAGTGTTGGATAAACTTTGTAAGATTGAGCGCTATCATTATTATGCTTTTAACATTTGGCTTTTAATAAACTATACTGTGCTATGAATTCTGGTGCATATTGTATGTAATCTGGATACAATGGAAATCTGAACTATTTCGGACTGAACGGTGAAAATTGCCATCATAGATTCATCCTTGCCCCATTATATTCCTCAAATGATATGAACCTTTCTGTAATAAAGTGTCCATTCAGATTTGAGAATCACAGCGAAGAGGAAGTAGATTGGAAAGCACAACACCATTATGCTGTATATGAATGATCACCATGTAAAAAGTTACATTGGAAAAATTGGACCATCACAGATTCAGCGTTGCCCAACTATACTCCCCGAATGATATGAACCTTTCTGTAATAAAGTGGCCATTCACAGGGTAAATGTTATTCTGCTTTGAAAATGACAGAGAAGGGGAAGTAGATTAGAAAGCACAACATCATTATATATGAAAGAACACTGTATACAAAAATCACATTGCCACAGGATACTCCCCAAAGTGTATGAACCTTGCTTTAATAAAGAGATCATGCACAGGGTGAGTGTCTTTCTGATTCGAGAATCACAGTGAAGAGGAAGTGGAAAGGAAAGCACAACACCATTATGCATGACATTCAATTTGAAAAATGGAGCCATCACGGATTGATCGTTGCCATCGGATACTCCCCAGTATCCGATGGGAACTAAAAACCTTTCAGTATTCAGACGTTAAATTTCTTTCTGATATGAGAATCAGAGGGGAGAGAAAATAGATGTTTGGGAAGTACAGCAGCATTATCTATGACGACCCATTCACAGTTATGTATTGTGGCAACACGCTAAAACGCAGGCAATAATGCGTCAGCTCTATGTTTGGTGTCATTCATTGTGAATGGCATGGCGATGCATTGTACAGTAAAACACAATGCACCACAGCGCACTACAACTTATATACTGTGCATTGTGGTGTGCTGCATTTTGAAACAAGGGTCATGCAATGTCTTTTTCATCCGTTGTGGTGCATTGGCAGCCCGTCTTAATGCAATGCATGTCAATACATGCCATAACATACATCAACACGCCACGCCAACAGATAACTTTAGTGTGAATGTGCACTGAAAGAGAAAAGTATAAAATGGAAGGGGTTTTATAGCACTACATAAGCTTTTTTTGTATTGTATATCACATCAGTTAGGTTCACTGAACACTGAAAGTGTAGCAGCTGCAGTATATAATGAATTTTGTCACCAGGTTTAAACAGATTTTAGTTACTTATCATTTGGGCCTCATTCACACTAGAAACGGCCTGCACATAAAGCTCCGTGCTGCGTGCACGGCCATATTGGGCAGCTCCCAGGAAGGACAGGTTATGCGTGTTATTAGTACGCAGCCCCTGTCCTTCTTTATGGGACTACGCGGCCGTACGCCGCCCTACGCTCACCTGCCCTGCACGTCCGTGCGAGTGTCTGTACTCGAACGCTGACAGAATGGATCCTGTCTGCGTCTGAGCCGGGACACCCGCACCAGTAGTACGGACCTGCACATGAGGTGAGCAAAGGGCGCCGTACGGCCGCGTATTCCCATAGAGAAGGTCAAGGGCTGCGTACTAATCACACACTGCATCTGTCCTTCATGGGAGCTGCCCGATACGGCCGTGCACACAGCACGGAGCTGTACGTGCCAACCGTTTCTAGTGTGATTGAGGCCTTACGGTGATTGTATGATTTTTGCTCTGCCTTGCACTGGAAAAGCACAGGTCAGGCTCACATTAACACAGTGGGCGCTCTTCACAGTTTTTCCATGATGGAAATGACAGTTTCATGTCAATTTTGGATTTAATTTTGTTCTTCCAAAATATGATTATTTCTTGTACTTAGTGTGGCCGGCTTAAAGCCAAACTCCAGGAAAAAAAATCAAAATGATCATTTAAACACTGCACTGGGTGTGTAAATTGTCCTTACAAAGCTGGGTGTTTTGTGCGGAGGACTGCTCCAATGTTTAAAAATCGTACCGGTGCAGCACGCCGTCTCCTACACATATTGCCTGGCTTCTGGGCACTGAGGGGAAGCACGCCGCCTCCTACACATATTGCCTGGCTTCTGGGCACTGAGGGGAAGAACGCCGCCTCCCACACATATTGCCTGGCTTCTGGGCACTGAGGGGAAGCACGCCACCTCCTACACATATTGCCTGGCTTCTGGGCACTGAGGGGAAGAACGCCACCTCCTACACATATTGCCTGGCTTCTGGGCACTGAGGGGAAGAACGCCGCCTCCCACACATATTGCCTGGCTTCTGGGCACTGAGGGGAAGCACGCCACCTCCTACACATATTGCCTGGCTTCTGGGCACTGAGGGGAAGAACGCCACCTCCTACACATATTGCCTGGCTTCTGGGCACTGAGGGGAAGAACGCCGCCTCCCACACATATTGCCTGGCTTCTGGGCACTGAGGGGAAGCACGCCGCCTCCTACACATATTGCCTGGCTTCTGGGCGCTGAGGGGAAGCACGCCGCCTCCTACACATATTGCCCGGCTTCTGGGCACTGAGGGGTATCAGATGTTAGACAGTACAGTTCAGCTGTCCATTCAAATTACCTGCCCCTCTTCACTACTTGTCCATCCACAAAATGTCTTCTATTTTTTTTAAAGAATACAAGGTGATCTGTGATTGAAGGAGGAAAGGAGGGGGCATGCATGTAACATCATCTCCTCCTCCATCACAGAACGCCTTGTTTTTTTCCTTGTATTTTTTTTAAGTACAGGGCATTTTGTGGATGGGCAATAATAAGGAGGGGCGGATGAAGTGACCGGAGCACTTCACTGCTCGAGTTCCATCTCTCCCTGTCTTCAGTGCCAGGAAGCTGAGTGTTATGTGTAGGAAAGGTAAGATTTTTATACTTTGCAGTGGCCCTCCTCACATACAGCTTTTTAATGATAACTTACACACCCAGTGCTGAAGTCTGACAAGTACGGTATGTAAGCATCCAGTGTGTCTAACATTCCCCTGGACCTCTATTGGGCCATTTTGGCTTCAAATGACAATAAATATACTTCACCTTCAGAGAGTAGGCCAATGCGATGAAGCCCAGGCAGCAGAAATTCAGGTAGACAAAATTGAAGATGGACCATAAGTAATAGTCGTTCACTTCAGTGGTTTCAGGGGAAATCTCTATGACTGTAATAGGATGCCCACTTTTCACTGTGGCCACAGACACTGTGCCAGGGGCATACTTGCACTTCTTCTTTTCACGCTCCAGTGTGTGCTTACACTGTGGTGGTGGCCATGTTCCATCAGTTTTGTAAGACTTATTATCCATAGCTTTCCCAAGGAGGAGGTCACCTTTTGTGTGTTAGATACACCAAGCAGGAGAGGAAACCCAACTCAAAGCCAAAGATCCACCACGAAGAGCAATATTGGCTAGAGACAGAGAGTAAAAGGTACAGAGATAAAATAAGACAGGAGACAACTGCTCTGGATACAAAACGTAAATGATAAAAACAATATGTCATTTTTAATTTATAATTTTGAATATCTTTTCCCTGTTTTGCTTTTTATTATGGTGGTGTTAGATATAAAGGGATGCACAGAATTACATGAGCAATGAACCCTCTTTGTTTCACCAGAATTAAAGATTTGGATGAACCTGATGCATTCAGATATGACGGTGCACTCTGTGTAGTAGATTATATGTATTGAATCTGGAATACCTTACCCTCTCATTAGATGGTGCAGATGATGAAAAAGGTACAGAAAAAAGATAATGAAAGGTGCTCTGTACCACGTGATCACTAAGACCAATCAATGCAATTAGCAGCTGAGACTTCCTCTCCTCTCACGCACCAAGAATGGTTTGAGCTACTTCCTGATCACCAGCCAGTACCAGTGACAATAAGTACCAGTGCCATCCAGTGCCAGTGCCTGTACAGTGAGTACCAGTACCTGTACAATGAGTGCCAGTGCCATCCAGTACCAGTGCCTGTAGAGTGAGTACCAGTACCTGTACAATAAGTACCAGTACCTGTACAGTGAGTACCAATGCCATCCAGTACCAGTACCTGTACAGTGAGCACCAGTACCTGTACAGTGAGTACCAGTGCCTGTACAGTGAGTACCAGTGCCATCCAGTACCAGTTCCTATACAGTGAGTACCAATGCCTGTACAGTGAGTACCAATGTCATCCAGTACCAGTGCTATCCAGTACCAGTACCTGTACAGTGGGTACTAATGCCTTCCAGTACCAGTGCCTTATAAATGTTAATATTTGTGCTTGTGGATGTCCCCCCTTTTAATTATAAATAACTGACAGCTGCAGCGAAAGACCGACAAAGCCAAAAGCACTGCGCTAAACTCCGTTATTGTGAAACAATTGAATATAACCCATAAATCTCCAAATAGACAATAAAAGAACCCAAAACACACCTATGTGTGTATACCACCGTATATCAAGCGTACACATAAAATGCAATAAGTATGGTGCAAACAAATATTGAACAATGTGAAATAATGTGTTACTCATTACTATTCGAAAATATGCAAATCCATCAGCATAACTCAACAATCAATGTGAATAATGTGTTCATATTTTAATAATGAAGATAATAAATAATAACTAAAGTTCATATAAAATGTTTAAAGTAAAAAAACGTCATCCGATCCTCACAGGACAAAGATAACTCGTGATCAGTTCAAGTAGTGATTAAAAAAAAATTATTAATTATATGTGTAATCATATAATCCCTCTCTGAAGAAAAAACAATGCTCCCCACTCACCAGAATCAAATAGTCAAATCGCAGTGATCACAGGACGCTACTTTCCCCAACAATGTAATGGCTTCCAACAGACCTTCTTTCTTTTCTCCACACGTGCATTCAATGCCTCACACTGATTGAAAGAAACAGTGTATCCTCTCCCACCGCAAACTCTTTCTTTCCCCACTCGACACTTTGAATGAATCAATAAACGGTCTACTCCTCACTTACAAATGGATCGTAGCCGGGATTTTAGCTCACCGATAAAGAAACAAATATACCGCACATAGCATAAAATCTTTAAAAATGTATTTTGCGCAAAAAACAATAAAAACGTACATCAATGATCAGTGATAATGGTCCTAACGCAGCTTCACACTGGAATGAACAGGATAGCAGCAACGTACACGCTCGTCCCAGAACTGATAACGAGTTTTATTTGTCCTGTGAGGATCGGATGAAGTGTTTTACTTTATACATTTTATATGGACTTTATGCTATCCATTACAAGTGACTGTACAGTGAGTACCAGTGCTATCCAGTACCAGTACCTGTACAGTGAGTACTAATGCCATCCAGTGCCAGTGCCTGTTCAGTGAGCACCAGTGTTATCCAGCACTACCAGTGCCTGTACAACTAATACCAGCATCATACAATCCCACTGCCTGAATACATTTTGGCCTACATGTATGAAGAAAGATTATTTATTTGATATGTTTTATAACCGAAAGGAAAACAGATTTTATTTTAAAATGTTTGGTCTTTTTTTCTTTAAATAGTAAGAAATAGAAAACACACTTAATAATTACCACCAACAGAAAGCTCTGCCTTTCTCAAAAGAATGATATGAGTGGTTGTTAATGTACCAGTTAGGGGAAAAAATGCTTTCAGCAGTTGGATTTAATAATCCTGAATGGCCATCCAATATACATGGCCACGGTCAGCATGCCTTAACCAGCGTTTTGCAACCAGTGTTTGTCCTGAGTTTGATAGGGGTTTCTTGAAGTGTGACCAATGGTGGATTTGTTTCCTACCAGCCAATGCCTGCATAGATCCACCACCAAAATCACTTGGAAAGGCCCGTGGCTGCTGCCAATGAAATGGGGCATTCTTCCCACCGACCACCAATGTAAGAAAGCACAACACTGACCACAAATGTAACAGGCATTCTTGCCAATTATCACCTATATAAAAGTGCAGTCTTTCCGCTAACCACCAATGGAACTGGCTTTTTCTCAACTGACCAGCAACGTAAGGGGGCATTTTCATTGACCACCAATGTAAGTAGGGACATCTTAACTAGCTACCAATGTAAAGAGGTATTACACTGCCCACCAATCTAAGGGGACATGTCTCATATGACTACCAATGTAAGCAAGTATGGCACTGACCACCAGTGTAAGGGGGCATTTCCAATGACCACCAATGTAAGTAGGGACATCTTATCAAGCCACCAATGTAAAGAGGTACTACACTGGCCACCAATATAAGGAGACATGTCTCCTATGTCCACCAACGTAAGCGGGCATGACACTGACCACCATTGTAAACAGGTGCCATATTAGTCACCAATATAAACAGGCACAATGCTAGCCACCATTCTCAACTGACTGCAAATTATAAGAGACATACCTTAATTCACTACCAATGTAAGGGGACATTTCTCCACTGACCACCAATGTAAAGGGGCACTACAGCTTTCACTCCCTTTGCTTTTCATATTAGCCATTAATTGTATTAGCTTCATGATTATAACTGAGAATAGTTATGCAGTTTTCTGCTCTGTGTGTCAGACATGTTAGGGGCTCCACATTGATTGCTGAGTGAGTGAGTTATTTGTTATTATATCTACAACTTACTGATCACCTAATGTACTATCATTGGTTCGACCTCATAGATCATTGGTTCGACCTCATCTGGAGTACGCGGTCCAGTTCAGGTCACCAGTACTAAGAGAAGATGTCCTTGAGTTGGAAAAAGTCCAGCGGAGGGCAACCAAACTAATTAGGGGTATGGAGGACCAGAGCTATGAGACAAGGCTACTAAATTTAAACATGTTCACATTGGAGGTGAGGAGATTAAGGGGGGATATGATTTCCATACACAAAATGTTCAATGGTGGTAGCAACATTAGCGATAAACTGTTTAAAATTAACTCCATTACAAAAACTAGAGGCCACCACCTAAAATTGGTGGAAAAAAAATTCCAGCACAAGGGGTGAAGGGGGTTCTTCACAGTAAGATCAGTTAGGGTCTGGAACTCACTGCCACAGGCGGTGATTTCAGCAAATAATGTGGAATTGTTAAAGAAACTTTTGGACGATTTCTTAAGGGACCGTAATATACAGGGGTACGGGTACTCCTAGAATGAGATCCTAATAGGTTGGACTTGATGGACTAATGTCTTTATTCAACCTCAAATACTATGTAACTATGTAACTATGAGCTGTAGATCTAATCAATTTTAGCAAGGGTTCCTTGAGACCTGAAAACGATTCCAAGGGTCCTTCCATGGTAAAAAGGTTCCGTTAATAACAATGACAGCAAAATGAGTCCAATCCACCCTTAATAAAAAGAGTGATGGAGTAAATCCACTTCTGTGTTAATACATAGAAGAGTTTAAAGCAGAAATGTAAGCCAATGAAAGTGGAGGTATTCACAGATATATGGCGAGTATATTAAATCAGTTCACATTTTCTAGCACAGTTTTGCTGTCCTGGGGTGGCCTTTTGCAATCGTTCGTATTACATTATATATGGTTAAATCATCAAGCTTAAACAACGTTCAGTTAAGTCGGGCTCGTCCCAGAGGTGAATGCACCAAAGAACCTTGTGTTGTGTGAAAGGAAAACTGTCATTACAAAAATGTAGATATCATATTGACTTCAACACTTTAAGCCATTGACCTAGAACAAGTTTGCAGATAAGGATTCCTGACTTTTGTGATCTCTATGCTTGTCGGCATTGAAGAGAGTGAGTCAGGATAACAGCTTACCGATTAGCATTTTTAGAAGATCAGCAGCCCACGTATTTCTTTCATGGCAGGATTTAAAGGATGTTATTCAATTGACTTAAGTGGCAACATTCGGGTCAACGCTCCTTTAATGCAGCATACAGGACTTGACAATGCACTGCAACGTAAGGCATTGGTGTGAACAGGTCCTATTAAACACTTTGGGGTTGATTTACTCAATGCAAATAGGATGTTCACTTTGGGAATTTTTCCTTTAGCGTAGTGAATGTGGAGAGATTCTGCTGACTTCCATCATTCAATCCAACATGAAAGCAAAAAATACATTTATTTCTTTCAATTTTCTTTGAACATAATTGGGTATTTTTTGCAAAGTCAATTGTCTTCCCATTCACTAAGCTAAGGAGGAATTCCCTTGCAAAGTGAACAGCCTATTTGCCTTTAGTAACCCCAATTTTCTCCTGTCAATCTATTGTCCCCATCGGAAATTGCAGCACAATGCATGTCAATGTGTCCGCTGTGGACAAGCTTTTAATGTGTATGTGTGTCTTATGCGAGACAGATGGACAAGGTTATCTGAGATATACAAGGTCAAGGAGGAAGGGAGGAAGAGCTGAAACGTGACGGAGTAAATGGCTATGAGCGGATGACACAAAGCATAAATGTTAATTCTCACATAAAAGTAAATTATTAGTGCATTAAAAGATATTACATAAGGAGACCTCCTAGCACGCAGATGGCCGTTCTGGGTAAAAGACACCTGTTTCTGCTGTGGCGCTGCTATTTTCCCTTCTTTTCTTCCTCTTATGTTCTCCTCTTCCTTTATTATTTTTTCGCACCTCTGAATGCCCCCATCTCCCTGTTCTGCAGTGTGATTCTGCAGCAAACATCCATTCACTGTTTTGCTCTGGGCACTGCAGGCGAGATGAGAACTTGTCAATAAGCTGCAGGCTATTGCACTGCGCCCAGCACCTTTCAGGTCATTGATCCGTAGCTAACGGAGACATCAACAGCAGTAGGCACCTTATAGCATCCTACTGCATTCAACAGAGTGATACTAGAGCACCTTCCAGCACCTCCCTCTGTACTCTAGCCTGTCACTGCATCAACGCATCTGAGTATAAGAGACACCAGCATAGCATCATACAGCCCTGCTGCATTGCATTGGCTGCTCTCAGCTATAATGACATCCCAGGCTGCCCTGTGTACAACACGTCCCACACTGTGTCATGGCAATTAAAGCATTGTAAACATCATAGTGACTCACTGTATCAGCCAGCGTGAAGAGCCCTGTGGTTGGTGCAGAAGACTGGAGCATAGCAGTGAGTGATGAATAACTCCGGATGGTGAATGAAAGTCGGCACAGGACACCGCTGCCTCTATCCCAGGTCTATTTTCTGCTCTATCCCTGTGACCCCTGCAGAGTATTACACTGCACCGGTATCATCTTACCTGGTCCTGCAGAGCATCACCCAACAACCCTGGATATTTCAAGGCTCTCTACTCACCTGACAAGTGTTCTTGTTAGGACCACTCTGAATGCCTATCTGTGACAAGTGGGTATCCCCAGGGACAGAGTGCAGAGAAGACCAGCTGCATGACTTAAAACAAGAGACCGTCTGTATCAGTCAGACAGACTACAGAGGAGGAGGCGGAGGGAGGAGGAAAAGAGGGTGCCCAAGGATGCTGGATTGAGAGGAAGAAAAGGAGGAGGAGCGGTATGGGAGGCAATCGTAGAGGGGGCAACTATAGCTGGAGCTCCCGTCCACATGATTCATGTAAACATTATTAAAAAGAGCATTGTCCTTGTAACCGTGCATGGAATGGAAAGACGAAGGACGCTATGGGCAGAGAAGAACGTGGGACCCCCAAACGTCTACAAACATAAATAAAGCCACTGCAGTGTATTTACAAACTAAAGACGTAGCCATCTCTTGGAAAAGACTTGTGCGTCCAGGTTATGGCTAGGTTCAGATCTGAACGCCCTGGATCGCACGATCGTGTTTGGCTGCACATAGCGATTGCCGCGCGGACCCCATTGATTTCAATGGGGTTACATCCGTGCAGTAATCACTAAAAAAAAAGGTACAAGTACTTTTTTTTTTTTTTGTGACACAACATGCTGCTTTTTTAGCTGCTAGCGTGTTTAATTGCACGGGCAGAATCGCAGAGGGAAACCGCACAATCCGCCAGACGCGACTGGGGTGCCATTACAAAATAATGGCACCACCAGCGCGATCGGCTGTGGTGGGAAACTCTGTGACCGCCTGACAATCCATGCGGTTTTGTGCACGATTGCCACGCGGTCAGGAATCGCCCAGATGTGAACCTAGCCTTAGGCATGGTTCACACCTGTACGTTTTGTAGCACGTTCAACGCTCTATAAACGCTCTACAAAACGCTCAAACATAAAAATCCCATTGTTTTCTATGGGTATGGTTCACACCTTGCCGTATTTCAGCCCGTCTGAACGCGCTACAAAACAGCCTACGCCTGAAAAGGTACATGAGCTTCTTTGCAGCGTTTTTGTTGCGCGTTTCCATTGGGATACAGCCAAGTAGCCCTCGGAAACGCACGTTTGTCGCACATTTTTTTTAACCGCAAATCGCGGTAAAAACGCCCGTCGCGAAACGCGCATATTTGATACGCCTAGGTGTGAACAGAGCCTTATAGAAAGTACCTACTTATGTGAAGGGACCGCACACATCACAATCTAATTGTACAATCTTTTCTAGATTAACCAACAGCTATAGCACCAGAGGTCTGCCACTGGTGCTACATAGCTGAACAGACTAATAAGTCCATGGTGACCAGCCTGCAGATCGAGGGCCACTTGCAGCCCTTTGGAGTTTGAAGTGTGGTCCTTGGGCCCCAGCAATCAGTAGTGGGAGCATTGGTTTGTAAAGGGTCCTTTAATAACAGTAATCTAGTTTCATGTAACATATCCCCAGTCTCTGATTGTCTTCTACAGTATGACTTCAGTCACCAAACAATCCTCTAGATCAGCGTTTCTCAACCTTTTATCCAGTTTTGTAAAGTATGCGAAACCTTGAGGCACCCTTTCTAAGATGTAAACATCTACAACATGATGTGTGGCCCCTCCAAAATCCATACCACACCCTTGTCCGAGATAGGGGTCTGCTATGCATTTTAAGGGGAGACCCCACACAAAAACAAAAAAGTGGGGTTCCCCCCTTCACATCAGAGCCCCCCTCACACCAAAGTCTCCCTGTCACATTTGAGTCCTCAATCCCCACTTCACATCAGAGTCCTCAGCCCTCCTTCACATCAGAGTCATCAGTCCCTCTTTCACATCAAAGTCCTCAGTCCTCTCTTCACATCAGAGTCCTCAGTCCCCTCTTCACATCAGGGTCCTCAGTCCCCTCTTCACATTCTGAGTCCTCGGTCTCCCTTCACATCAGAGTCCTCGGTCCCCCCTTCACATCAGAGTCCTCGGTCCCTCCTTCACATCAGAGTCCTCGGTCCCTCCTTCACATCAGAGTCCTCAGGCCCCCATCACATCAGAGTCCTCAGTCCCCCCTTCACATCAGAGTCCTCAGTCCCCCCTTCACATTAGATTCCTCAATCGCTCCCTCACATCAGAATCCTCAGTCCCCCCTTCACATCAGAGTCCTCAGTCGCTCCCTCACATTAGAGTCCTCAGTCCCTCCTTCACATCAGAATCGTCAGTCCCTCCTTCACATCAGTGTCCTCAGGTCCCCCTTCACATCAGAGTCCTCAGTCCCCCTTCACATCAGTGTCCTCAGGTCCCCCTTTACATCAGTGTCCTTAAGTCCCCCTTCACATCAGAGTCCTCGGTCCCCCCTTCACATCAGAGTCCTCGGTCCCCCCTTCACATCAGAGTCCTCCGTCCCCCCTTCACATCAGAGTCCTC